ACATAATATTTTCTCGGAGCGGACGACCATTGTTCGGTCGCGGGTCACGATTCGCCCATAAACAACCGTTCTTAAAAAAAAAAAAAAAAGCCTCGTTCGTATACACACACCCCCACCCGGAGCTTACACATTCCGTTGCGTTACCGCGCGCGTGCGTATACATTTTTTCTTTACCAGTTCGAAACGTTCCGGATGCGTTTACCGATAGTGATGGCCCTGAATAATGTGCGGCATAGTATTAAATATAGGCAGGTTCTCCGCGGCGCGGCGTACGGACTATGTGCCAGAGCTATTTTTCGAACGATGATCGCGTGCATTAATAAACGTAATGTTATAGCTATGCTTATGCGGTTTGCCGATTTCCCCGCGAGTTTTTCTCCTCTCTTCTCTGTCGTTTATTCGTGTACAATATTATAGACCCCAACAGTGCGATATACGCATTTTCCGCTGAACGTCCATCTTACGGTCAGATTAAAGCTCACCGCAGCCATCACAGTCGTTACGACCGTCGGTCTCCGGCGGTACGTATAGAGCTGCCGCAGTTGGCCACGCCTCAAACCAGCCACTGCCAATAAATTTGATGGCTTTCTTCCCCGTCACCGCGGCTTATTGCTCTTATTTCCTTTATGGCAGTTCCCATTGTGCTTCCATATAATATTATTCTCGATAAAGTTTAATAGATCGTAAAAGCGGCGACTTTGGCACTAGCGATCTGTCGCCCGGCCAAAAAAGAGTTATGACAACATATTATTATAATAATACCGATGGCGTTATTTTTTTCCGACTAATTTATATACATATATATATATATAAAGACTGGCGAAGGATCGTACCGGATTGCTCTGCGCGCAGCGTATTTGTACAATATCGTCGGGCGACGGACCTGAATAATAATAATAATAATAACAATACAGGTTGGCTGCGGGAAAACAATAGCGAAATGAAGCCTATCTGGTTTTCATTGTTTGATTTTTATACTGCCGAGCGGCGGTGGTGGGGTGGTGCTGGCAAGAGGGGGTGAGGTGGCGGAGCAGCAGCACGCACCACCACCGGCGGTCGTCGTCGGACCGGCTCGCAAACCCCGTTACACTCGGTGTAACACCGGGACTGCACCGTGTACACGATGATATTGCACCGAAAACGCCCGGGCCACGACGGAATTTCCATATTGTCATAGCCGCGGACGACGACGACGACGCGTAGAGACTACCGTCTACCGCTCTTTGGACTTAAAAACAGGTCGGGGGGGGGGGGCGATTTTTCCCTCGCGTATCACGCAACGTGGCCCCGCACCGCGCCGGTGTAGTGCAGACGCACTCATTTTGACCTGCCGCCGCCGCAGTTTTGAGTCGACTTGCACAGAGCGTAATAATACTACTACGTTCGTATCGCAGTGGTGGCAGTAACGCGGCACCGACTGACTGCCGCTGCGGAACAATTTCGTTTTGTTCTTTTCGAAACGCGCCGAGGACGGAGAAACGAACCGTGGCCGGATCTCCGGTCGTTTGAACACGGTGGCATCGTCATCGCCGCCATCGGATTTCCAACACGGCCAGGGTCACCGGCGTGACCTTGCTACGCGCGCAGCCCGACTCCCACGCGCTCTTTCACGTCGTTTTGTTTCTCTCATTATATTATAATATTGTCTATAACTATTTAATGATATCATATATATATATATATATATATATGCACTGTTTGTATACCGCGTGCAGCTCACGACAATATAATAATATAATAAAATGCGTCTGTAAAATTATACATAATATTATTGTATTTTATTTCCTCCGCAGTCGCAGTTTTTCCCTTCTCGATCCAAAAACGCGACTAATGACTTTTCCGAGCGACGGGTTTATACGGTATTTTTTTTTTTCATTCTATTCTTCTTCACACCGTCGATTCGTGTCGTCGTCTTTCCCGGCCGGTGGCTGTGAATTTGTCACCGTTCGAGTGGAAACAACGATTCCACAGGAGATAGCCGCGGCAGGTCGTCGGCGTCGCCGCTTCGTCGATTGCGAATGTCGAACGAGAGAGTTGATCGCAAAACGCGTGTGGTATAGGTACGCAGTCTGTCCACCGACCGCTCGACGAGGCAACGACCTTCGACGACTATCACGGGTCTACGTTATCGTCGGGTTACCGCACCAACCGCGGTCGAATTCGCCCGGTAACCGCGCGTACGACGCGTTAAGGATGCATCGTGGCGTTCAGCTGCAGGGCGTTATTATTGAGTCAATCGATCACAAACTTAGGTTTCCGATGATGTCGTCTCTATAGCAGTTACATGCGACATAACTCATAAGTACCAATTGGGCAGATTTTTCTTTTAATCTTTCCGCGGGGTTTAATTGGTTGAACAATACACACACACACACACACACACACACACACACACACACACTACCTCGAGCACACGCCACTCGAAACAATGGTCCGTTTAACTTTAACGGCGTACACACTGCACACTTTCCGTCTCTCTCCCTCTCACTCACTTACTGTGTAAATTATACACGTATTTTTTATATCCTCTCTCACTCGGATCGAGATGGTCTGCTGCACGCACACACACACAACACCTCCACATCCTTCTGGCCCCACCACGGTAATCATTACGATTACAACTACTACAACTGCGACTGTACAACGACAACTGCGACGACAGCGACAGAGCCCGTCACGCGTGACCCGCGCGCACTTGGGCCAGATAGCTGCTCTTTGTCTCTCCGGTCGGTTACAAATAATACGGCTGCGACGACGGTTTGTCGAATGTACGTAAACTGCTCCGCGTATACCGAACGGGGAGCGACGAGTGGTCCGGCGACGACGATTGCGATAACATTATCATAGTCACCGGATAATAATAATGATCGTTTTTGGCAAACAGCTTTCTGCTCCGAAAGCGACGGGCTGACACGCTCAATAGGTGGTGTCACTATTTGCATATGCACATGTGTCCCTATATATTTTTTTGGAAACGGGGCGCGGCCGGGAAACACGCGCGGCTTGTATAATATTGTGCCGATCTTGAGTCGGTCCGCCGGTGAGGAGAGCGAATCCGTACAGCATATTATGGATCATCGCATCGTATGACTATTATATTTTATATATCATATTTTATTGCACGACACGACCGTCGGAAACTAGAGTGTGTATACATAATAGTATAACATACAACGGCCGGGTACGGTATCCAGAATACGTGTAGCTTGCTTTCAGAGGATTACGAACATATAATATTATTATTTATCATATCGACCGAATGAATAAAATATTGTTCGAGCCGCATTGTTCGCGGTGAAAAACTCGCGATCTTTTCATGTAGGTATATAGATAATAACACATGTGCGCATATTATAATATATTTATAAATATATTTATATCGTTATTATTATTTTGTAGGTACTGTGTGCTCGTCATTGTACCTATTTAGTCGTCTCCAAAAGTCACATGGTTCATTATTCATTGGCGAGTTTGTATAGCTGCGCCGCAACATATATAGTGGGTGGACAGCGCGGGCGTGCATAGTGTTTTAGGATAATATGGTTTTTTTTTTTTATTATTATATTATTACTATTATTTTTTATACGTTTATATTTACCAGTGGTTCTCAGTGGCACAATAGCGTCTATTCATATACATGTAGAAGCGTTTGACCCCGGCAATGGTAATTATTAATTGCTCGTTATGCGCCACATTTGAATATGAATGCGCCGTGTAAACGGAGAGCTCGTGACCGTGTACAATGCAAAGAGAGAAATGTGGAGCGATGCACACGAGGAGTATCATACAGTTACTGTACATATAATATGTTTGTATAAAAAGAAATATTTCGGAGGCCATTATGTGTACGCGTAGACCATTTGTGTGTAATAATATGTATATTGTATATTATGTGTATGTATGTGTCAGGCAAACTGTTTTTTAATAGATAAAGTCATCTCGTCGTAATATTCTTTACAGCTGTCTCTGTGCCTCGCTTTTCCTCTAGTCCACATTACCAACGTAAACGTCTTACTGATGGAGGTATTTAGCTAACTGTATAGGTACGTCCATGGTTTGGGGGAAGAAAGTTTTTAGAATTATTTTTGTTAGTATAATATTATTTTGAACGAAAGGTATTAACATCTTAAATCTCCATTCGTATAATATTGAATTTTCGTATAGTATTATTAGTATCTATATCCATAAGGACGTCGTTTCATCAAAAATATTATAATATTCTACTTCGATAAATTCATTGATATTTAATAATATGGAGATTAAAATAAATTAATATCATATTATACAAAAAAGTGGCTTCGTTTTTATTTCATCTATTTAAAAATCACTTATTAAAATTTGTTTTCTTATTATACATAATATGTTTATTATTCGTAAGCATCATACGTATTTATGCACATTAAGCACGTAAAAATTATTTCAAGTTTACGACTACTACATAGATTCATTTGAAGAAAACTTTGAAAAAATATTCAACATTTATATATTTTTTTAGTCCAAATATTATATATACTTCAACATAACAATGTCAATGTAGATAAACAAAATTATTTTTTTATTTTATTAGTCATTATCATAAAAACTAGGTAAAAATATTCTCATAATAGCTTTTACGCTCATAAATTGTAAAACTTTTGAGTTATTGTATTTCACAAAGAAAAATATAGAAATTACTAAATTACGTGTCATGATTGACTGGTAAAACTGGTTCTGTAACGCTTACGTGGACACTATAATATGGATTCAGTATTATCAACGACAGTATTCTTACGTACGATACTAGGCCTAACCAAATATTAGAATCGGAATCGATCAAATTTCCTATCGACTTACATACAATACCTCTGAGCAGCTATTTTATACTACTCGTATGTATTCGACTAGACATATTTTAGTGACTTATGAATTATATGATACTCCTACAGCTGTGTACATTTTATTGATAGATTTATTCGGTATCGAGTCGAATAAAATGGCATATATTTTATAAAGGTACTTACGTTACACAGTCGCTTGTCAGTATCCGTGCCGAGGAGTTTGGATATAGTACTCGACCACAGTGCGTTTGAAATTTCCATCACCGGTGTGAAAACAAATGTGATTTTAGTCTGAAAAAAAAAATTCACACTCCTTATTACTTAATGTGTGTACCGTCAACGGAAGCAGCAGCAACATGTCTCAACTATTGTGCATAAAATCTGACAGGTTTTGAAACTGGATATGATATTATAGAGCTTATTATATATATGTGTGTGTGCGTGTGTGTCTATATACATGCACATTTACGATTTATCCCGTAAAAGAGGAACCCACACACACCAAAATGCCTCAAACATTGTGTGTTTTGAACCCTTTTGAATTCCTCCGCCCACCGGTGCAGTTTCATAACATTTTATGGTGCCTCGTAATTATTTTTTAGATTATAACGAAGGGACGATTATACACACGAACAAGTTAACATGCACATTTTAAATTTCATTGCGCATACACACTGAAAACATTTCACAAATTATAATATATAATATAATATGCCATTGAATTATTTAAATACCAAACTAAATAGTTAATATATTTTTAAAGCATTTTGGTGTGCTCCGTGATACTAACCTATTATTATTGCGAATTGAAAAAATGATGTGTTTTTCCATGAGAAATTTAAATGTATGTACGTATATGTTCGGTTTCCAATTACTACAATATAACTTATAGCGCACCTAAGTGACTCATTATGAAAAAATCGTTACATACGAATTATCCGGCTTAAATATTAAAAATGGCCCAAGTGCGGTGTGTGCTACGGGTGTTACATACAAACGCGTGCGCGTTCATACACCTCACTCACACACACACACACACACACACACACACACAATGTTATATTCTAATAGTGTTTTAAGTCGTTTAATTTTTTTTCCAACCACGCAGACACGACGCGCCGCGAAATTATTGCCGTCGATTATCGGCGCGAGTGGGCTATTCGTGGCGTTATGATGGATTATGTGAATAGACGTCGGTCGTTTGTCGTATAGACGGAAAGAAAAAAAAATGTTATTTATTCACGAGACACACACGCGCGTGCGCGCTCGCACTCACGAATAACATAACGTATAGATCTTCATCTGCGTACATTACAATAATCGTACGGTGGAATATTGTAATAACATGAACTCGAGACGAACGTCATCATCACCGCCATCGCCAGACGTGTACCGTTAATATTATTGTGCATATACTTAAATATTATATTTAAAAAAAAAAACCAAACAGCAGACGCAATCGATCGTCGTATATAACGTATCGAAATGACTATCGTCGATAGCCCGCCAGAGGTCAATAAATAATTATTATATTATATTATACAGGTACGAATGTTATTCGAATCCGCCCGAGACTAATGACGACGACGAATATAATAATAATAGTAACAATAATAATGTTGCGCGCGCGCGAACACCACCTTGGCGTACATAAAAATAATAATAAAACATTTACTATGCGACGAGAATATATTTTAATAATAATACAACAAGTCGGACGTTGCGTCCGATTATAATATATAGCGCATGGGACAACCGTTCGATTACAGCCGTGCACGTCGTAATAGGGGTAGGGGGGGGGGAGGTGCATGTAAAACGATACCGCCGACAAAGAGTGAACGCTGCTGACATTTGGCATTGACTTCGCCGTTATAGAACGGACTCAAAGTCGGCGGAATTGCGGTCGGTTCGAGCGGCTCGGCCTGCGTTTGTGTCGTGTCGCGGACGCGGCTTAAAGACCTGCACAACTGCAGCTACAAGTAAACATGGTCGGTATACCTGGTGGATGGTCTTTGATTATTATCGTATGGGTACCGATTGTCTCTTCACGTCGACAACTAACGTAAATTAATAATAAAAAAAAAAAAAAATAGCAAACAATAGTACTAACTACTATTACTTCTACTATTACTTCCTGCACTACAACTATTTCTACTAATCGTAACAACAACAAAAACTGACCTGAAAAGTATATATATGGTTCCAAATGCAGGTTCAATATTCCACATCTCAACTTTATACGCACTGTCCCAGTAGATCGAGTGCATGATTGATCAGTGTCAATAACTGAAAGACAATATAATATGACATTATTATAGCATGGAACAAGTCAAGATGGAATAAGATTTTTAAAATATAATTTATATTTCAATAACATAAAAATGCAAATGTACCGATGTATTCATAAATATCAGTTAACTAATGTTATGTTGGAGTATTTTAACACAGCGCTGTCATAATTATTATAAATTTAATATTGCTAATAATGTATATAAGTAGGTACATGTACAATATACATAGTATACACATATTAACAATTATATTTGAATCATGGATCAATAAGAGTCATCATACAAATATAGACTCGTTAGCATCTGGATTTTCAAACAGTTTACTTTGTTAGTATTATTGAACTAAGATGGGTCGTAAATTTATCTGAGAGAGCCAAACAAAAATATCGTTTTATTTTTAACTTCAAAAGTGTATTATTTGTACACGTGTGTCATAAGGAATACTTGAAATTTGAAATTTGAAATCTAAATTTAATTGTTTTTGAAGTAAAGTAGGTCTGTCAAAAATTTGAGACATAATATTTTGTTCATACATTAAAAAATAGTATATGTTTTCAACCTTACTAACAATACTAATCCAACTTAACCACACTAGTCATAATGTTTAGTTGATATAGTAAAACATACCCGTAATATTTAGCTTGAGTACAATATGAATGTAAGGTCAAATATGTTTTTAGCAAGGAAATTGTTTAATCTAAATATATTATATCAGGTGATGTAGATGGTCAAAAATAGTTTATAAACTAAAACTAACATGGAGACGATTTTCAGTTAATTTAGCCCATAATTTGAAATCGCGTATTACGTAAGACTATTGCCAAAATCTCATTATTGACTTTTTTATTTCTTTAAAACTAAATAGATATTTTTATGAAATATTTATAAAAAATGCACAATGAATTAAGTCTTTGCCTTGTCCAATAGATGATATTTTTATTATATATGAACGCATAATAATCATATGTGTATATTATAGACATGTCAGGCGCCACGATAATGACACATGACCATATTTAGTATTTTTTTCACATCATCTTCGTTTCAATGATCAGCCATTGTCAAGTGGTTTCTAGCGGTAATTACCGTTTGAGTCACACGGCCGTGTTCATCGGGCCGGCTGGGAGAGATGGCGTCATATAGACGATAAATATTATATACCAAGTCCGATGGTTGCGTCGGCCGTCCATTCGCATGCGATACTCAACCGCTCACGGGTAACACGAGAATCGAAAACCAAGTACATGCCAATCTCGGTGATGTTTAAATAATATACAAGTAATGATCTAATGAAACCTAATGAATCCACGGTGTCGGGTTACCGGCGATTTGAGTGTAATTCGAATGGAAATGAAGAAGGAGAAAAAAAACCAATCTGCATCGACAGAGCGCAGGTACACATATTATGCGGGTAGAAAAACGCACACGGCACACACACTTATTTGCAGTGCACCGTCGCTGGCTATATGGCTAGTCCTAACAAGTCGGTGGTTAATGCACGAGAGATAGAGGGAGAGGGAGAGAAAGAGAGATACTGTAGAATCTAACAGACACTTTGTACGTTCATAAATATTGCACACGGAAAACGATTGCTCTTCGCGAGTCCTCGTAAATAAAACCAGTTCGGGATCCTTTGTGACGGCTAACCATAAAAAAAAAAAAATAATAATAATAATAAATAACGTCGACCGTGAGCAATAAAGAGGAAAAAACAGTAACGATTTTCTCTTGATCTTCAATAGACGACGACGCTGCTGAAAGCTATGCACCGACAACGTTTTAATTGTAATAATGGGTACACGGTGCGATAAAGACTTTTTATTGCATTAAAAACATGTCGAGTAGTCGAACAAAAACCCGAGGTGAAGTACTGAAGTGTTTGAACAATTATAATGACTAACAATAAAGATTAGAAATGAGCTAGTAAAATATAACGTCATTGCATGTATAGCGTACACAAATACCAACATTATGTTTTTCAAAAATGGTTTTCATATTGCACGGTTATTAACAACCTAGTTCATATTTTACATTTTTTGGAGATTTGTCCGAACGTATAATATTATAATGTTCAGAAGATATATTATTATATTCGATAAATTAGATTCATCAAATTGGTTTTATTGTACTAAGAACTTGCAGACTATATCGAATAATATAAATATAAGGTATATTCATCGGAAACAGCCAACGAGTTTATTGTTTACTATTGATGAAAATCGTTAGTATATTTGAATTGATATCCATGACGTAAACTCATTTCGAATTTATTCCTCGTGGTAAAATTTGACATTAGAAAATAATATACTACGATCATTGTACATGTACGTTGTATATTATGTACGGCCATAGTATAATATTATTATGTCCTTTAAGAGATCAGACGTCATCGTACGTTTTTGTTTTGATGTTTATTATAATGAGGACGCAGACAAACGATGGTGAGGTCATTTCAATAGAAACCATCCGAAGAAAAACCATCAGCCTCGACGAATCGGCATATTATACTATACTCAACGCAAGCCATTAAATTACGGAGAATTGATTTCGATCCCCTTTATCCCCTGTATCGGTGTACCTATATAATATATATAGACATATATATATTTTTTGAATAATTCAACGTTTTATAATTTATTTGTGCAGATGAAGGGGTGTTGGTGAGCACATAAGGGTCATCTCGTTGGTTAGTTCCCACAGGACCCTTGCTCAACACTATTTGTCACCAATCGGCGGTTAGAAAACAAAATAATAATAAGAATGTTGAGAGAAAAAAAGGAACGGAGAGAAATTGCAAATAAGTATAGAATATATATATATATGTTTAGGTATATAATATGACGTATTTTATTTATAAACACGACCGTGCCGCTGGACCGGAGAACCTCGGACTCGCATCGTTGGCTTGAGTTTAAAAATAAATTTTAACCGTAATATTAAATATCAGCGGTTCAGGAATATTGCGGGACAGCTGTATATTATAAATAATCATTTCCTCTAGTGTATTTTCCTTGGCTAGGTGTATCGGCAAATATCGGCTGTGTCCGCGCACTGGGGCGGTGAGCAATTTTAAATTTAGCCTTAAAGTGTTAAATGGATTAGATTACCATAAAGAAAACGTTTTATCGGCACCCAAATCTGGTTTAATAAACATGATTAATCGCTTGAAATTCAAAAGCCATACGATTTAATATAACCAACAATTTGTTACGCTGACCATTATTATAATATTTAATCTCTTATAGTAAAGTTATGAGTAGAACTTAATTAAGTTTTTGTTAAGAGTAGTTTTCATTCAAAATCAAATTTTAGTTGTAGCGGTAGATAGGTGTGCAGCATACCTAGTCTTCAATTGTTGGGATAGTACATAGCAAATAAATTAGTGTTTATTGTTCAGGATACATTGAAAAAAACAGACCTTTTTTAAATATATATATATATATGTATCAAAATAACAACAAAATAAAAACATTCATACCAAAAAAGATGTAAAGCTGTGTATACAAGAAACTGGATAAAATATTCTTTGTTAAGAATAGTTTTACTAATTTGAAAAAAGTTAAGTCATAAACTTTCTATAATGCACTAAAAAAAAGTTCTAATAAAAAGTATTAATAACTACACCGAGTAAAAATAGGTTAATCATTGTAGATTTTAAAAAAATAATTCATTGAAGTTTTTTATATGGATTACAACAATGAAGTAAAAAAAAACATTTCTATTCGTACCTATTTAAACATTAAAAATAGATTTTCAGAGAAAATTAAACGATAAAACTTTTAGTCGCAGCTCAAAATTCGTATTACATAAATTTATCAAAGAAGAACTTTTGAAGTGAATCCTATATTTTTTCCTTCATTGCATGGTATTATGTTATGTCCGTAACAAGATTGTTTATGTACATATACGTTCTGGTATGCTACGTGTTCAATTGAAAAGGCTGGATGATTATAAAAGGTCGTGATATTGTTGAAACAAAAGCGATGGTAAAAAATGATAGGGTAAGGAAAACGAATTTACTAGCGCTAAAAGGTCGAATGACGTTGCTAAAAGCTTTTACGAAAGATGTATAGTGTATACACAAACCAAATTACATTTTCTTCTTGCCTGTTTACTCCCTTAAAATGTCACCATCGGCAAAATGGTTATGGTTTAATTTCCAGTAGATACTTGAATATAATGTCATTACGCATTGTAATTTAAAAATATTGGAACCACTGGTTTAAAATTTACTATCAGCAAATTACACGCACAGCCTAATCACAGAATAAAGTATTTTAATTTCATAAAAAAAACCAACAAAATAGGGCTCCCGGGAACTAATAAATTGAAACACGATTGTAACTGACTTTACGCACATGTAAATTATCAATAATATTCTATCCACGATTCGGACCTTTCAGCGATATATCGTATGCATATCCAGTAGCTACCGAATCGGTCCCTTCTCTCTTTTGAGAATTTATTCAAATTGCTTGTCGTATATATCAAGGGTCCACATCGACGTTTTATCGTAATGGTCTAAAGGGAAACGTCAAAAATAACTTTAGCTTTTATTTGAATTCGACGTGATTTATGATAGATAGTCTTGAAAACATACGCGAACAAATATATTTTCCACTAGAATGGAAACATTGATTATTATGAAACATATACAGACAGTATAAGTTTAAAGAGCCTGCCTATTACAGGGGTACTATTTGTTCATAATAATACTATGTATTTTGTGATATTTCATTTGTACGATATTCAAAGTACACATAAAATAAATAATTTTTTTCAACATTGTTAAATGTTCATATTATACAGTTGAATAAATCATCATTTCTTCACTATATAGGTACACATAATTTATAAATCTAACGTTTTGAACATTTTAGTTCATAAGAAGAAGAATGCGGAAATTTGTTTTTGTTAAATTAGGTAATAATGTTAACGGATTTATCTAGATAAATACATTTTATATAAAACGCATGCTATCTCTAATTAAGTGACGAAATATTTAAATGATTAGTGGTCACTCGTCAAAATAACTATAGTCCCACGCCTTAGCATGCGCCCACATATACACATTAATATTATCTACCTATATACACCTCACTATACATTAACTGAATAATAAAATACAAAATTAATATTTTATTTAAATATTAAGCCTAAATAACATAGAACAAATGATAACAATCAATACATAATTATTGTAGTATCTGATAATAACTATACTTCAGGCACTACCAGTTAATTTTATATTCTAGACGATCCACGAGATAAATCTAAGAAATCTCGTCAAAACAATTTATCATCTGCAATCGTCAATCGGTGTAATATATTATTGAGACTCTAGACGTTTTAGGAATCACCCATCCTCATTTACTATAAAATAAAACACGTCAAAACCTCTGACATTTTAGTATAAGTACTTCGTAATTTAATAATCTCCAATATCCAACCTTCCCTTTATCGAAGACTATTAAATTGATAAGTCAAAAATTTCATCGGACAGTAAACATTAAATTAAATATTATAAGAATTAAAGAAGCATACAAAAACAACGAATAAGTTCATTTAAATTTTAACAACTAGACTCGAAACATACAGTTTAAAGAATACAATTTGAATACCTTTAACGAATGAATTATAAATTTATTTCAGATAGGTAATAAATGTATATCACCCGAACGCTTGGAATGCAAAGAAGATAATAATTTTTAACAGGCCGGGGGGTCCAGGTTATAATAATAATTAGTAATAAGCGATGTCCGTGACCCCTTCTAACTTCCAGTAGAACAAATTAAAACCTAGTATGCGATGTGCCATTAGTGTGTAGCACATATAGGTTCTATTGTTTTTATGACTTAACGACCCAACGTAGAACGGTGGGGAAGCCTTTACCCGTTAGGAAGACATTAATCCTATGCGTCACAGAGCCGAAAGTAAACAAAAAATAATATTTGGTAAAAAATAAGCTATATTCGAGGAACGAACTAAATTTTGAATATTTTAAAGTAAGCGCTTCAGTAGAAAAAAAAATGATGAGTGTAAATTATCGTAAACATATACTCACACATAAACCCAGTACCTACACCACTCCACCCACACACATGTGAGATGATCAATGTAAATGTTTAAAAAAAGTATTCATGAATAATGGTCATGTAAACTTTAAACGAGTAATGAAAAATACATATACATGGGTACCTATTGATAGTTCAACGGAAGCGTTTGTTGATACTAAATAAACAATACAAAAACGAACAGTGCGAAAAATAATAATTACAAATTGTTTTAGTGACGAAAAAAAATAGTGTTTGATATTTTTTTTCTAAAGCTTCAGAAATGTAAATATTAAACTGAACTGACTATTATACAGCATGGACAATGTTGGGTCATTAGATGTACATAAACATATCCTAAAAATGTGTAATTTAATATTTAATAACAAGATGTAATGTTTAAAATTATTATATGAATACATAAAAAACGATTCGTAAGGTATAATAATAAGGTTAAATTTATTTCTTATAACATTTTAGTACATTCTAAAAAACAAATGAACGGATTTTATTCAATAATCTTATATTTTATATTTTTACGTCTAAAACATAATAATATATTTTTTCAATTTTAAAATAATTTTTTTTTTAAACAACCCTTATGAATATTTCCTACTTTCATTTACGATGCGATCAAGTAAAAAAAAAATCAATATTTTACAATAAGTAATAACCAGTGTTATAAAAATAAAGCGTGCATGTATGTTTTTAATTTTCAGGGACGTAGTTTCAAAAAAAAACAATCTATATGTACGTACACCATACATATGTGCACACATATCCTCCCTAAAAACGTTTATTCGGTCGAAACCCTTCTAAATCGGACAGCTGCCATGGGAAAATCTCTCCCCATCGCGTGTTATTAAAAAGTAGTATGGTACGTCATATTTTGTATTATATTATTATTTCATTGTACATACACATTTTTATTTTTTATGTTCACAATATATGAAAACACAATTTCGATATGAAATAGAGATAAAAACAATGTGCATGTTATTTTTTAATAAACAGTCTTTTTTTTTAAACAAATGTTCCTTAATGCATTTAATAACGAACAATAGCTGTTAATGAATTACACGTAACTAGTAAAAAAATTTAAGAATGTTCTGCTGTAACGGAAGGGTCCTCATTAATCGAGTTTCATATATTTTATAGCGAGAACCAGTTGATAATATTTAATAAGAATAGAAAAATATTAAACTCTATAAATCAACGATATTTAATTTTTTTAATTTGTCAGACGAGCTATATGGTTAATACAAATATGCTTAATAGGATACTCTATGACAAGTTATAACGGAATGACCAGAAAAAATGAGAATAAAAAGTTTATATAAATAAAGTAAGTTAATATATACAGTTAACTACGTTTATTTTGGAATGGTCATTGAATAAATTTCATTGAAAAATAAGTAATGCGACATAACTAAACAAATAAGTAAATACTGTTGTCAGTTGAAAAACTATTTTGTAATTAAATAATGGGTTTTTATTCAATCAAGTACATAAAAATGAGATGAGTAAAAATATTACAATGTCTAACATGGGAACTATTATTATATTTTTTAGCATGACGGTTATAACTAGTTTCAAACTTAATGGTATACATTTTAACTAAAAATATATTAATATTGTTGTTATCAATTTTAAATTTAAATTTTGTTTTAATATTTCAGTTACTTAATTAATTATATTAACGGTAGGTATAATGAAACATCATTTTTTTTTATAGATAATTCACAAATGTATTATTCAATTAAAATATATGATAATGCACCTATATTGATGTCTGTCGACTGTCACATGATTAATTTTTTTTTCGATTAATATTCTGGCTTATTTTATTGTCACACATGGTTAAAACTCATTTTCTACAATCCATCCCTCCTTTTGACAGTGAACAGTATACTGACAACTTATGTGCGTAATTAAAAACATAATGATAATAATACAACCACATAAAAAATATTCATAATATTGCTTTATACTATATAGGTATGTTTTAAGCATATTTTTTATAAAGAATGTACGTATATTTTTTTTTGGAAACTTAAAGATTTCAAATACAAATATTTAAAAATATGTTTTAAGATAATATATAGGAAATTTTTTTTTGCACATTGAAATGAATAAAACAATTAAAAATAAGTTGACCAAATAATAAGTAATGAAATGTATAAGAAATGTGATTATTAGTTTTTTTCTGAGGTAAATCGGTCATTAAAAATAAGTATATAGCTAGCTCATAATCAAAAAACTTGGCTCGAAAACTATTTGGGTTAAAGATATTCCGTGTTGGCGATGTTAAAAATTGTAACAATTTGAATTACGTACAACTTTAGTATTTTTAATAATTTTAATGCAATAATAAATGGGCCATGTGTAAGTAGTAGATTTTCAAGTATAGAAAAAAAATAAAATTCGAAAAACAATTTTTATAGTTAAAATTTTTTTTTTATCAAAATTATTTGTCACACGACACACTTAAATATTTTTCAATATTCTGCATGAAAAAAATATTTATTATCTTATGACAATGCAAAATGGTTTACAATGAGTCTTTAATTTCAATCAATTTCATTCATATTTATTTAGATTTGACGTATTTTTTAAATTTGGTTTACACTTAACATATTTCTATCCCCACATAATTTAATTGAAAATTAAAAACATACAATTATACTTAAAGTTAAACTTAAAGAACAACTAATAAAAACAGAAATGTTTCTCAAACAACCTGCGGATCACAAATTTAAAAAAAAGTTTTGACTTATAAAATATTAAAATATAGAAAATATCTCATGGATGTACTCACCAATTTCGTCGGTTGATCGTCGCCGAAGATGTATCGGAGGACAGTGTGCAGCCTGAAGATGAGCGCGAATTGTCGAGTTGTGCCGATCGTTGTTGAGTGTTTGTTGAGGGGGCCGTGATGAAATTAAAATTAAAAAAAAAAAAACCGGAAAAAAATCAAACACAAAATAATAATACAATATAATCGTGATATCGGCGCGAGAATCGACAGTTTTACTCGGGTGACGGACGAAAAGAATAAAAACAAATTACGTAAAAAAATATGATAATCTTATGGCGCGGTGAGTGTAAGTACGGCAAGTATAAGGAACGGCGGCGGAGTACATAATATTATAATAATATCATGTCGAAACAAGAACTGAGTGTGTTTTATGATGGAGGCAGTGAAAAGAGAGAACTCGATGCGAGAACGTTAGTTGTTGATTGCAGCAGTCGTACGAATGACGGTCGACGGACCGGAGAGCGTTCGCGTCTGGTCGCGGTACGGTTCCGCTCGACTGTAGCGCGCGCGGTGCTATACCTGCGNCGCGCCGACGTGCGGGCCGCGGCCGGCCGTCGACAGAGCGCTCCGAGCGGGGCCCGCTCCGACAACGATGACGACGGCGCCGCCGCCGCGCCACGAGCCCGAGTGCGAGACGCGACGGCAGGGGAGAGCCGACCGGCCGGCCGGTCGGTCGGTTCCAGTGTGCCGTGCTCGTGATCGGCTGACGTCGGTCGCGGTCGGCCTGCCGCCGTCGTCGCCGCCGCCGCCACCGCGTACCGGGCACACATCAATACACACCCGCGGCCACGTGCGACCACACCCTTCGCGCCCGCAACCCTTTTTTTTTTTTAACAATAATATATATTTTTTTATTTTTTATTTTCATCCCTCCTCCGCGCCACCTCCCCCGGGAGATTCAAATAAGCGCTAGCGAGGACCTACACAGGTATACAACACACGTTACCTATATACGTAGGTACTGTAATAATGTCTACTGTCTAGTATATTTGGGTGCCTACAATATGGCTATTTATTATTGTAAAAGACGAATATTGTTTGTACCTATCTCATCCGGGAGGCGCGCAACAGACTCTCCAGGCGATCCAAACCGCCGCCGCCGTCTTTACATACCACTCTGCAATAGTACACGTCATGTATAATTATAGGTATATATTTTTAATCGAGTATATTGTTATCATAGCCCCCACCCGATTATCGCAACGGGTTGACGTCGTTAGTGGAATATTATAAAGGGATTCGTCCATTGTACGGATGTTTGCTTATTACGGTATTTAAATAGCCATACACCATGCCATCGACGCGGCAACGCCCGTCGAGCTTGGGCGAAACAGCTATATATAGTGAATAATGCGTCACGTATGTAACGTGGGTATGGTATATTATTATGATACGAGTTATTGATAAACATCGATTGTATGGTTCATCCTAACATTATTATAATATTATATAAATATATTTCTGAATAATCATTTTTTTTTTTTCTTAAATCTGTGTCACGTAAATAATATTATATCAGTATATGACATTATACTATTATCATCTGCTTGCAAAATAAATAATAGACCTGTCGATTTAGCCGAATTATTCATGACAACTGCTTCTATAAATCTAGAAATATTGGCCAGTATTGACGAACAGCTATACCCATATTACATTATTTAGATACCACATTATTATGTACATTATTATCAATGCGATTTAATTTCTTTGAACTGTGCTAAAGGTGTCATTTATTATAATCCATAATATTGTAAAAGAGAATGTCAAGCAGGTATTATATTTTGTTTTTTATTTAAAAATTATCTGTTCTACTTATGACTTCAAAACGCCAACACAATTTGAATAGCTTTGATGAATTTTTCATTTTATGAATTCATTCTATGCGTACCTTAATTACCATATTATGTATGAACCGAGCAGTACTTGTATTTGTTTAATGAAGAGAATAATAAGCGTATTGAAAAATATCGAAATGTATTGTAAATGGGATTGTACTTGTTGATTTTGCATATCCATTTTGTTTCTCATTGAGACATTTTTACATTACGCACACAATTCGTTGTTTCTTTGAGGTAAATACAAAAAAGTTGATTTGCGTTTATATACATATAATATATTAGTGCATTTTATTTAAGAAGTTTTTATACATAATATAGTTCATTTAAAGCAAACGTTTTGACATATTATAATATGCTGATAAATATTTTAGACTATGTAAACACGTATAATTAAATATAACGTAGCAAGCACATTCGCTTAAATGAGTTAATTTAATATTTAAATACATAATATCAAATTTTTATACACCTATCATACAAGAAATAAAAAAAAATTATATTTAGTACTGGCTAATTGATTATCCAACATTTAACATAACTAGGTCACATCGATCATTAAATTTATGTGAATAGTATTGTTAACTTAAAGTGACCATTTTATATACCCATGTAATATTCTGGTTATTTCCATACTTTAACATTAATTTGAATTATTCTCCCCCTCCCCTCAAAAAAAGATATATATATTTGTATATATAAATAACACTATTATTCAACACTATTTTTGAAATATATTATTCAGAGAACTGTAAACCAATACTTACTAGCTGCCACTGTCTAAATATTATGCAACACACGCACAATTCACGCCCCACATTTCTTTCATTTAATTTTTTTGTTAAATTTAAGCATTTCATTATAATTCCCAAATGAAAACGGAACACTTGACCTACAACAAATAATATTTCATGCCCGTTTTTTACAATTTTTTAATTTTCAACCAAGATATATAAAGTTATAATTGTTACCACACAGTTTTTTGATTTTTAATACCGTACTTCAAAATTGCAACATTGAAAAATGTGACATCAAACCCTTAAATAATTTTTCTCTTTCTATTTTATAATAAGTAATCCTACTATGTAAGAAGTAAGAAACGTGATTTTATTTATGTCACGATAGTGATGTTGAGTTGTATATCATATATCGTGGGAGATAGTAAAAGCTGTCGGCCACCCGTTTGAAAGAGAGTTTAATATAAAACTAATTTAAAAATGCGTAATTATTATGTAGCACAATATGCATTTTCACCAAGACATTTTATTTTCTTCACACACAACATTTTTATCAATGTTTGTATTTTTGTAGGTATCATATTTATCAGGATAATTTAATAAATTATTTTTAAACATCAATAGTTTGAAAAACTAGAAAAAATTGCAGTAAATTATTATTATTTTAACGAAAGATAATTAGTAAAAATTTTCATTTTCATTTATAGGATAATACAAATTTGATTGACCAACTTTATGAGCTTGATAAAAATATTCTTAAGTTGAGAATATAAAATTTAGAAGTTTACTTACTAAGAATTAAATACATAACCATGATAAAAAAATTCTTCAATTGCCTATAAACAACTACCTATAAATTGTTTTTATCTTAAATTTCCACACTAGGATTGTAATTATCTCTTTACACATTTTTGGTATTTTTTTTGTTATCATTATTTTCAAAACAAAATAAAACTTTACTTCTAAATAATGTCAAAATTTTAAATTTTTTTATTTAGGACAATTTGTAGTAATTATAACAAACAGTTAAAAAAGTTTCAATTAATCATTAAAATGTTATAATATGTTAGAAATGCATTAATAGTTTTTATATGAAATATTACAGTTGAAATATATTTTTTTTAATTTTATCATGGATACATCTTTAATGATAAAAATATACATACATTATTTTACTTCGATTATTGATGAATTCTTTTAACTTATAAAGTAATATACATATTATTTGCCAACAATTTGATTTGAATATAGACATACGTATCACTAAATATGGATAAATTATGGACGTAAAGGCAAAAGATAATATAGGTGATTGTCCAAAAAAAAGTAAATCTGTATTGGTGGGCGCATGGGGTATCTCGTTAGGAAATGTTAGTTTTTTTTCTCTCATAGTTATAACTCTTATTTTAAAGCGTATTGCATACTACTGAAGATTGAAAATTTGGAGAATATACATTTTATTCCTGTTAAATTTTGCATCTTTTATGCTATTTTTTTAATAGGTACTTGGTATATTTTATAGTATTATTATCAAATATTCCATTAATTTATAAACATAAATAATTTTTTTATTGATTTATTTGTTTTTAGCCATCAAATTGCAATACAATAGATTTATCAGACAAGATTCTCAATATTCATGTGGTGTTCAACGATTTACAAAAAATATTTTTGATAGATGTATTTTATATTTATTAGGAAAGTAATATGTCTTGGTCATTTTAGTTAGTTATTTGTAAGTTGTTTTATTAACTCCGATAATCTATGTGAAATATTATTTAAACTTAACAACCGCTATTTTTTTAAAAATAATAATAATGATTCACACAATATCACAATAACATGATTAACTATAAATCATCATTAAAATTAAAATTAAATAACTTTTAACTACTTATTTCATACGTTTTAAAATCAATTTCCAAATAATAAGTATATTATATTTATTTAAAATAAATTATAAGCATAAAATATTATATATACCAATTCTGCTTATCATTTAACTGATCGTTGTTCTCATTTTTATTGTTTAAAAAATATAATAAATCAAACAGGTCTTTAGTTTTGAAAAATGATTAACCTTATAATTAAACATAATATTATGCAATTTAAATCACTTTAATATTATTATTAATTTTAACAAGAATTACGATTATGGTACATTTAAAAAATATTATTTTATACTTAAGTTTAAAAGTAGAGGTTAAAGATATGAGTTTCATCAAAAGCTTAACTTCCGTTAGTCTTTTTTTATTATTATTCATTCAAAGAATCAAAGTATCTATATCTACTATTAGGTGTAAGAATGTATTCCATTATTTATTTAAAAAAAACATATAGTTTATCGTTATTTTTTGAAGCTTGGATTTCTATTAGTCCCTTGGTACAGATTATATACATAATAATATGTCACGCAGCAAAATTATTATGGAAAGTTTAAATTTATTAGCTTCTTCGTAAAGTTCCCTAGGTATAATAATTAATTTTCTTGGATGGAACTATTTCGTAAAAAAAAAAAATACTATAACTTATTTTGTTTTCAACAAACACATTTACTTATTCATTTAATTTGATTACAATATATTATAGGTGTTAGGTGATTATAATATACTGACTTGTGTTAAATTAATGATATCGAATGACTAATTATTATGACACAATACACAAGTAAAAAAAAAGTGCTCATATAGTTTATATATTAGACGTACAGTTGTTTTAACTCTAGTGGTTTTAATTGATATAATGGGTATTAACTATAGTTATGCATGGGATACCAAGGTCTATCGAGGCGATGATAAAATATCATAACTAATGTAACACAATATTTTATTAGAATTCAACTTTTTGAATTTCAATGTCTGTATTATCTAATACGATCATATTGTCCATCGGTATTTTTTCAGTACCTATAGTCGTGAATAGCCAAATGTAGCACATTAATATAATAAA